GGGAATTGCCCTAAGATCGACGGTTTGACCTTTCGCGAGTTGAAAGTGACATCATTGTGGGTTCGGCCCTAGCACATGCCCATTTTGGCTTTTGCCCAGGCTCTATTGCTATGAAAAGAAAAGTTAATATTTTTTAAAGTGGGACCAAGACTTTTTAGGTCCAACTCTTAACCATACTCGTCCTGACCACCCACTCCTTAATTAGAAATGCTCGGGGACTAGCTATTGATACTTTCGGTTTAGTCCAATGGTCCAGAAAATGTTGTACATGAGGTAGACTGTAATTTCCTTATTTTGTCCAGGAATTTGTTTGTAAGTTTATTGCACTTGTTAAGTGACCATTATGGAAATATTACAGTTGTCAATAATGCATTAACTGTTCTAGCGAGGTGTGTTCAGTGTATGCTCGACTTGTTTGTCGAGTAAAAAGTACTTTTATACTTCTCCGTTAAAATTTATAATATCATCTAATATTCAAAAACTATGAAAGTATATATAAATCTATATGTCAACATTTGTAAATTGTAAAAGTTTCAAGCCATTGCAAGATTCAAATTAAGAAAAAAAAAAAAATAGAAGTTCAACAAGACAGGCACGCTTTGGTGGAAGGTTTTCTTTAGGTCACAATCACGTTTTGGATTTATGTGTTGTGGGTCCCGAGCAATTGATCCAAATTAGGTATAGTAGCAGATAAGTCAATTCATGCATTTAGGGCACCCTTTGTCCCCTTCATTGCTAATAAGCAACAGCCTACTTCTTTCCATTTCAACCACATTAAATCGAATCACATACATCTCAGCTTGACATAACACAAGCATAATGTGAGTGACTGAACGTGGGCCTCCTTTTTTTTAAAATTTAGTGGTTAGGAATTGTCCGAGCCAACTTTCGCGCACTGCACCTCGACTGGTTCTCTCTAGTTTATCTTAAGGGTGTGCATTCCCCAAAATTGTTCCGGTACATTCAAGATTTTCTTCCGGCAATACTCTCAACAATACCCGAACCCTAAGATCATAAGGAGAAAAACGAACTTTCTTACCATCTACGCCAGCACTTTGTTGATTGGGGGCTCTTCCTTTTATTTAAATGACAAAAAGAGTTATGAAAGAATAGTTTTGCCGTCTGGGATCCACTTACAATCTTAAATATGTTTTTCGTGCAACGGAACATGAGAATATCTAAGGCGTCATCAATTATGTTCATCCCTTGCAAATCGCATGAAATTAAAGACAGGAACTTCCAAAAATAAGAAAAGAAAAAAAATATTTTTTTGAAACTCAAGAAGTGTGACCCAGAGTTTCCGGGACGAGGGCCGTTGGAAGTTCTTACATCACTTGGTTACGGGATTTTTCGTGACCTCATGTGCATATGAAGTTACTCATGATCCGACGGCTAATTTTTTGAATCCGACCGATAAGTGCCGGAGCCAAGAGTACGTTCTTCGTGCCTCAATTTGACTTTTCCATTTTTACTCGTTCGATTTGTCGTTCTTCAATAACACGTGTGTTTTTTCCGTACATATTTCATTTTGATTTGCATGTCGAAATTTTTGTCGTCCCAAACCTAATATCTTGAATATAACTTCTTAATTGAAATTTCCAAGAAGGTAAAAGATCAAAGCAATGATACTACAAAAGATTTAATTTTTCCTTTCCAATATTCCATCCGAATTTTCATTCCTACCTTTTTCCTTACATTCCCAAACTTATCATGAGCCTACTTTTTTAGAGGTTCTACAATCCCTCACGTTTGTCTATTTGGAGAAATTTTTACTTCTGACCTAATTTGAATCATAAATTTTGTGATTCGCGCAATTTGACTTTTCCCTAGTCGAAACATCTAAAGGCTATCTCAATATACAAATATTGATATTTAGTATCATATGTAGTTTTTTCGAGACTTTTTCAGATTTAGAATCTTTTTCATTTTCAAATTTTTGAGTGAAAGTCAAAGGTAATTTATAATGGTAGGAAAAACTTTTGGGGCATGTCCGTTTTAGCTTTTTCACAAGTGAAAATTCGTTCACTAAAGTTTTCTTCAAAATACTCTCACAGGAACCTTGCACATGCCACCTAAAAGCTTTATCAATTTTTGTGATTAGAAAAGAAAATATGCGTGATCAAGAGAGAAGTTGTTGACCTCGTCAAGTTTACCATTTTGTCAGATATTACAAAAAAAACTGAAGAAGAGAGCCAGTGGAGAGTACTATATGTGCATTTAGAAAAAAAGGGATAAAAGGCAACGCAATCTGTAGTGTCTCGGCACTACTTTAAATTGTTCAATCTGGTGTCTGAATAGTCTCTCTTTTTTTTTTTTGTATAATTAAGTCTTTGAAGTATATATATTTTGTTTAAGTCGATTCTTCCATTAAATTCAACGCCCCATCAGCACTGTCTTGACAAATAGGCGCTTTCTTGCAATTCTCTTGTGTTGACTAAAAAAACTATCAGAAAATTTAGAAGAGAATCCAAAAACTAAGGGAGAAAGAAAAAGAGAAAAGAAGGGGTGGCGGGACACATGCTGGTGAGGGTCACGGAGCCCTTGTCGGCCAACGTCGGGTCGTTGATAAGTATCGACGGATGGATCAACTCGAACAAGAAACATAAAGTTTAGCGATCCAATTGCGATAAAAGTTCAAATATCACGGGGAAGAAAAGGAAGGACAAAAAGATGATGGCTTCAAACTGATCTGGGCTTTTACCCGATCGATCCTAAATTCATCAGTGACGGCGTCGTCCAACTAGAAAAGACATGATGGAATTGGGCTACTTCATCATATCCATTAGGCCCAACAAAGTCAAAGTACTCATTACTCACAAGCCATTTTACCCTTTTGACCGTTTGTTTTCTTGGGCAGATAATAATTCTTCACTTTGTCTCTTGAGAAATGTAGTGTAATTCTGAAAATGTGAGATGACATGACTTTGGGGAATATTTCAGCCTAAATAATTTATGACGGACTGCAAATTTAGTGGCTTAATGGACTGCCCTTACGTTTTTAGACCCATTGGCCGAGCTGGCTAAGCTTCCGGCTCCTTTAACGGGCTCGATCCGGCCCGAACAATCTTGTTGAAAGATTTTTACGGTTTTTTGGTCATGGACATTCTTAGAAATAGACTGTTCGTTCATGCACTTTTATACATAGAAAATTGGCAAAAAGAAAAAAATCAAATGTAAGAGCCACTGTGATCAAATCACAGCAAATTGAAGAGCGTTGTCTCCCCATTAGCAAATGCTGCTAAGAAGTTCAACGAAATGACCAAATCGGGATCACTTAAAAGAATAAAAGGAAAAGATCGGACGGAATAAATGTTCGGGGACTGAATTGAATGTCGGACAATACTACAGGGATGAAATTGAACAAAATAGAAACTCGAGAGATTGAAAAAACTAACTTGTCCCTTCAATGCCGAGGGCTAGAGGAATTAGTAAATTCTTTTTTTTTTGTTTGCCTATACGGGATTTGTTAAGAATTTGGTCTTAAACAGGCATCACCGCTGGTTTGAGCCCTAGCTCGCCAGCAGCGCGGACACCTCAATTATAAAAAAAAAAAAAACAATAATAGTAGCATGGATAGCAATTAGTCTAATGGGCTCGAAAATATATGTTATGGGCTTCTACGTTTCACTCACATGGATCCATCTAATTCAAGGTGGGGCGTCCACAGGGGCAAAGAATCAAACCAAACATCTAATGAAAAGAATTGGACCAGGATTAGATATGGCCGATCCCAACACATGATGTTAGGGCCGACAATTTTCAACACGACTCGTTCGCACAGCAGGTTAACATGCTTAAGACATGAAAAAAACAATCGTGTTTTGTGCGAGTTAACTCGCTTAACCCGCTAAAATAAGAATCCAAATGTTTTAAGTTGAGATGTTAGCATGCGATTTTCTATGACCTGAGAAAATTAAATACGTATGTAATATATAAAGACATTTTTATTTCTTAATAACTTATAAAATAACACTTTAATTTATAAAACGGACTCACGGCTCTCTTCATTTCTGTTCATGTTTCATCATTCATGTGTAACCCCTCTCCCTCCCTCGCCATGTTCTATGTTGCTTTGATTGTTATTGTTGATTTCGACATTTAAGGCCAAATGATTGTTACTCAAAAGTGAATGGTGGCCCGTTGTCGTGGCCCATGATTTTTAAGTGTAAGCTGTAATTAGAATAAGTCACCTTCATATCGTATCCCTATTTCGACACGATACGAATTGCCAGAGGCTAAACTTAAGGAACGGGCCGTATCGTAAAGTTAGTACTCATTCGAGGAATCCGATATGCCAAAACAGGTTAAAGAGAAAACGGTCTAAACCAACCGCCGAACCAATCAGAATATTCACCACCTTCCACCTAGTCACGATTATCCATTGATACTTTCCAACATTTTATACTATACAACCCAAATTCTTGCTTGTTGCTAGGAATGAGCCTGAGGGGCGATTGCCAAAATTGACAAGACCAAACTAGAGTAACCCCATTCGCGAAGTAAGGACAACCAAACGATGCCATCCGCGACTACAAGGACACAAATCCAAAACATGCCAAAACCCAATTGATCTCACCATGTATTACGTGTGAAATCTTCTTCGGATGAATCAAGAAAAGGGCGAATCCAGTTGGCCGGCTACTTGCCAATTCAAAGTGCCAACACACCAGCTCTTTGCCAGGTCCAACGAAGCATATCTCCGGAGCACCCAACAAGCAGAAGAGCCGAGCGCAAAGGGAACGAACAGCTTCCGAAAACCTCAGATTTAAAATCCTGAAAAACAAGAATGGGGCGGCTCCGCAATATGACCGTATCCGACAGAAAAGCATGTTCGATTCTCACATGTCAACCAAAAATGCAGAGGCCGACAGATTCAAGTTCAGCTGCAGATGGAAACACAGCTTCACCGATGCACATAGAGAGCTGCATGACTCGCAAGAACACTGGCAAATTGAACGCACGTCCACTAAAGGCAGTCGGAGAATCTTTCTTCCTTTCTCTTTAAGTGTTTGCTTGCTAGCGAATCTAGATGATCATCAATTCGGTTCAAATGGAAAAGATTGCAGTGGGAAAAAATTCACAATCATGAATGATGAACAGCAGAGTAGGAACGAATCGAAGCAAAGAGGAACATTGCCAAACAGATTCGACGCAGAAATTGATCAATGCGAACACTAACTTCCCATTAAATCGACCCAAGTATTCACATCACACGCGACTTCGATTCCAAACCAAACCCAAAAAGCCCCCCCAACCCTAGAGCGCCGCCACCATCCACGGCGACAACCCAATTCGACACAAACAGGCGCGCAACCGGAGCGGGGGAAACAGCCCGCGGGGCCCCCCACCGGACCGGAATCAGCCGCCGAAGCCGTAGAGGGTCCTGCCCTGCCTCTTGAGGGCGTAGACGACGTCCATGGCGGTGACGGTCTTGCGGCGGGCGTGCTCGGTGTAGGTGACGGCGTCGCGGATGACGTTCTCGAGGAAGATCTTGAGGACCCCCCGGGTCTCCTCGTAGATGAGGCCGCTGATGCGCTTGACGCCGCCGCGGCGGGCGAGGCGGCGGATGGCCGGCTTGGTGATCCCCTGGATGTTGTCGCGGAGGACCTTCCGGTGCCGCTTCGCCCCGCCCTTGCCCAGCCCCTTGCCCCCCTTCCCACGGCCCGACATGGCGGCGATCGGAGGGTCGGAGACTCGGAGGTCGATCGAGATGGCCGGAAGAGAAACGGAGCTTTAGAGAGAGAGAGAGCTTGAGGAGGAAAACGGAGAGAGAAGGAGATTTATAGGGGGAGGAAACGGCACTGCGCGGTGGCGCTGTTGAAGGAGACGGAGCTTCGGGGGAGGGGAAACGTGAACCGTTGGATCAGTTCACCATCGGACGGCTAGAGGATGTCGATCCGCGTCGCCTGCTAGGAATGGAGCTGATTGGCTCCCCTCGGCTTTCCGAGGATGACGCTGGATGCTGACGTGGCCTCGCCCGGGTAAATTCAAGCGTCTTTTGCTGCTATTGGCAATAATTTAAGCGTACTCTAACCAGAAAGAATATTTAGATTTTGAAAAAAATTAATACTACATAACACAAAAAAAATATAGTGAAATTAGGTTATATATATTTTTTTAAATTAGTTACCTAACAAAATTTTCTTCCGCACTTGTGAATAAAACCCGACTCCTTGTAACTTCGGAAATAAAATTCAAACTTTAGTTTAATGAAAAACACCCTAAAACATTTGGTGAATATACGTTCGAAGTGATTTTATAATTTGAATTTATTATCTTTTGAATCGAAATATGATTTTCACTTTGATGGGGAGTAGATACTTTTTGGTAATTGGCTGAATTTGAAACCAAACAAAACTTAATTATGTTTTGCACTTTCATAAAGATTTATATTCTTTGTTTTTTTTTTGTCGTCGGATATTTATATTCTGTGTTGGGACGGTGGAAACTGAGGAGAGGGAAGAAATCTTTCGAAACTTTTGTTATAAATATCCGATGACAAAAAAAATCCATACCAAAATCTATTACTTAATCGACATTTTATTTTGGTACTAAGGCTCTGTTCGTTTGGCAGAAAATATTCTCTTTTTGGAAAATATTTTCTCGGAAGTCATTTTCCTGGAAAATTTTTTCCCGGAACATAATTTTCCGGTGTTCGGCAACCAATATGAAAAAGTTTCGGAAAATATTTTTCGCCGCAACCGTGGCGGCAGCCAGCGGCGGCGGCGGCGGCGGCAGCACGCGGCGGCGGCAGGCGACAGCGGCGGCGGCCGGCGACGGCGGCGGCGGCGGCGGCGACGCGCGGCGGCGGCGGCCGACCGCGGCCGGCGACCTTAGTGAAGAAGAAGAAGAAGAAGAAGCTCCGGAAAATGATTTCCGCTCTTGAAGAAGCGGAAGTCATTTTCCGTAGACTTAGGCTATTTTGTGAGGGGGGAAGGAAAATATTTTCCCACGGAAAACGTTTTCCGTCCCCCGAACACCGGAAAATCCGGAAAATATTTTCCGGGAGAATATTTTCCGCCAAACAAACGGAGCCTAATGATACGTTCGTTTTCCATTGAAAAAAAAAACACCTTAAAGGGGTTTCGCATTAACTAAAAAGTCAACTTATGAGGCTACAAAATTTTGTAAAAGCGAAAAGATAAAAAAGCCAAAGTGATCTCATAAAAAAAATTGAAAAAATGACACAAATAGCCCCTAAACTTTGATTCAATGTGAAATGTTGTCCCTGAACTTTTAATTTGTTTAATATGGTCGATAAAATTTTAGCTTAATGTGCAATGTCGTCCCTGAATTTTAATTTGTTCAATGTGGTTCTTGAACTTTTGGTAAATGTTCAATTTAGTTCATAAATAATTCAATCTAGCCCTCAAATTGAACATGTACCAAAAGTTCATAAACCATATTGAACAAATTAAAAGTTTAGATACCACAAATTAAAAGTTTAGGGACAACATTGTACATTGGGTCAAAGTTCAGTAATCATTTGTGTCATTTTCTCTCGTAAAATCTATCTCACCTGGCATTTTTCGTCCATTGATTATTGGGAAAATATAAATAAATAAATAAATAAATATATATATGAGTTTCATCTTGATAGCAAAACCATGCCTCTAATTTTAAAATTACAAGGCCCATGCCTCATACCCTCTTAAATGACCAAAATACCTTCACATGTTTAGGACCCAGAAAGACCCTAGCCTCCACATCAACCCATTGGTCGCCCATGGCGTCTATGGCGTCAATGAGAGGTCGTGATGCGTGGCCGACCTTTGCATTTAGGCGGTGGTGTGAGAGAGAGAGAGAGAGAGCGAGTTACGGAGGAGAGAGACAAAAGAAGAACGAGCTCTCTCGGCAAGACCTTCATGACCACTCACGACAGTGGCCAAGATCCTGCACAAGGCGTCGATGACGGAGGGGCGAGCGTTCAAGGTAGTTGCGGCGGCAGGCGGGGGTATGCGGCGGCCGAACCTAGGTGGTCGGCGTTTGGGATTTGTGGGTATGGTTCGTGTGTTTTAGAGTATGTGAGAAGGGGTATCACTAAAAAAGAGGGCAAAATTGTAATATTGCCAGAGCGAGGTATTTATTTTTGTGTTTTTTCCTTAATTATTGATTCTGCAAATACTGCATTTTGTTTCATTTCCATCTGTATCAATGATACATTGAGATGGAAGAGAGATTCACCCACGCTCACGCCCATCGACACTGCTGTTTGCACAAAAGATGCTAGTTCTGATGCAGAATTATAGTTGATACAGGAGGAAGAAGAGCAACATACACTCAGAAATTTTCGCTCATCGATGCATCATATGGAAAAATAACAAAATGGCAGGCACACGAACCCCGTGGTTGATCAAGTGTTCAAAGACCTGATTTGCTAGCCAAAGACCACATGTTCAATTCTGCACTTTATTTTCAATCTCAAAAACCTTGGTTAGTCCGCGAAAGATGGGTAAGCGCTTATATATATATATATATATATATATATATATATATATATATATATATATATATATATATATATATATATCACCAGTCTTGGGCTTTCCCACTCGCACGTTGTGGTGCTGTGGTGACGGGCTCGCCCAGTGGTTAAATCAAACATTCAAGCAGCCAATGAGAAAACAACCAACTCCATATAAACCTTCTTTGGCGAGCGAAAAAATGCGTGCAAAGCTAGTGAAATTGAGGGAAGAAACAAGACAATAAATGGAATCGAGGAAGCATTCTTGCAAGAAGTTGCCAATCGACCAATCTTGAACTTACTCTTGCTCTATGCTTTTGGCCTTGTTTGAAAATTAGTCATATTTACTGCGCATATCTTCTCAATTTGTGCAAAGTATGACACAATGGTTCTTTGCACATGGCTACCCCAAAAACCAAGACTTTAACCCTGCATCCATCCGTCCCAATATGTCAACTTTATATTAAAGGCCATGCTGATAATAATCATCAAAAACAAGAAATCCAAACAAATCATAACGCACAGCACTGTTCAACAAAAAGCCCCAAAAGACAGTGTCACCTGCTTAGGTACATTCCAATCTGCAAAATCATTGCAAAAGTACTAAGTTGACTTTCATGCAACACTGCTTACACTGATGCAGGGTCAATCTGTCTGTCCTGGGCTTACTCCAGATGATTTTGCCGAACCTGGCATCATATCCATTTTATAGCAGCATGCATAAGCCACAGGAAAAAACAAAACAAACTAGACTTTCTACTCGATTAGACTTGGACAGCGAAGAGAGTTTCGATGTCGACAATATGCATTTCTGTCCCTCCTTCAAGCGGCATTTTCTATTCGGTCTGATACAGAAGATGATTTTACCAAGGACCTAGGAGAGCTGTTGACTGGGAATAAATACATAAGGAACAGCTAAACCTTGGAGAGCCGTTGGACTGTGCATAAAAATAAGTATGATTAGAGGAAGGTCATATCAGGACCCAATAGGTCAATATGCCAGATAAGAATCACTAAAACGTTGTCATTGGAAAAACCATTTCATCCAACCATTTGGGAAGAGGAGTAGCTAAACATATATTTGCATTGCAAAAATTTAAGGAGACAAACCTTCATCTAAAATCAAACTTGGGCCTCTTGGACTCCAGCGACTCCACGGTCCTAAATAAAAGTCATATGGGAATGTCAACATATTTTATTTAACTTTAAACAGCAATCAATACAATTGTACTGAATATGCAAATTTAAGAAGTTCATCCACAGTTTTATGAGACAATGGAAGAAGATTTTAAGGTGAATTTACAGCACAAAATTCCATAACTGCCCTAGTAGTATCCCTAGATTCATAAGTATGATTTGGTTGCTTGAACCACTATGCCAACTCAGGACTGATACTATAATAGAAAGGACAAATCCTTACTTACTAGAGAAACATAAAGTGAAATTGCAAACCAGAAAGAAACTACGTACCAGTGCATAAACTGCCACTTGGTTTCGCCAGAACTCTAACCTGGGTAAAAGTATTCTTCCTACAAAAAATGCAGGAAGAAGCGAATTATGAACCTTTCAAGACGGCAATATATGATTTGGAAGTAGTAGTAACCATTTTGAGAAGGCAAAAATGTGTCTCACAAAAATTGTATTTAAACATGGAGAAAATCTTTGAATATTGATTGAATGCTCGCTTCATACAGGCCTAATTATTAGAGCATACGGATGGTGACTACTGGAATACTTCAAAGCATTGCAAATGCATTTAACTAAAGTATGGGACGGGCCAATTATTTCAGAATAGTAGTAAACATTTTGGGAAGGCAAAATGCAATTCACAAAAAGAGTAGTTAAAATGGAGAAATCCTTCGCTATTGATTGAATGCTTGCTAAATGCAGGCCCAACTGTTACAGGATACAGAGTGTGATAACTGGAATTCTTTCCATACAAATGGATCCATCAGTTCAAAGGATGTTCTCATTTAAACTGGTGATATGTATTCAGGTATGTACAATGCTTTAGTATTGATTGAAATGATAATTCCAGTTCATTAACTTCATTAAAGTTAAAAAAATAGGTTTTAAGGCATGTAACGGAATTGAAAAAATAATACATGCTTATTCTGAATTCATAAGCGGCTAAACAGCAAATTGTAGATCTTGAACAGAAATATGGTCTGATGGTCTACTCACCAGATCTAGAACGTTTGAAAGAATCTGGAGATGTGAGGGAACTTCCCTAAACAAACAGGAAACAAAGTAAGAAGGCTTTAGACCAAACAAGTGCCCAAATCTGTATGCAAATTAAATAGGAGCATGATGATGGCAGATGTAATTGTGGGTGTGGACAGAAGATCACCATATAAAGGCATACAGATACCAAACTTATACTATAATTCTAAACATATAAACTGATTAGAAAGGCAGGCAAAGACTGCCCTAAGTTCACATGAGTAATGACTAACTAGATTTATATCTAATTCCCCCCACAGATCACATATGCATATGGGCTGACAAGTCAAGTTTTAGTATGTTTTAGGTGCTATATTTTCCTCCCATCTTCAAAAGCTTTTTTTATCAGTTTGGCGTATTTCATAGCTTTAAATGTTTTGTAAAAACAGTGAGTTGAATTGGAAGGCTAAGGTCTGGGTGGAAAAGGCAATGACTAGGAGTGAGATAATATATCCAGAAAAATGTGGCCAAAGGCATCAAAATTTAATCACCTGCCACTGTTAATAAAGCTTACAGGCAAAACTATAAAATCTCAGCAGTCTCTCCTGGTTGACAAGATAGTCAGTTTTATAACACTTCTCCTCAGTTCGAAAATCAATCTAAGTGACATTTCATAGTATTACTAATCCACGTTCACTAAAACCTCACTGCAAAGTTCTCAATATTGTATATGGAAACTCAGAATGTTTGATATTGTAAAGGAGAAGCAGCAAAACACGAAACTCTTGCTAAACCACTCAAACATTATTGACAGAATCAGAAACTGAGAGAACTTACTTGGGAGCCTGTAGGAGTTTTAATCACAATTGGTTCCCCACATAAAGTATTGTTGTCGACATTGCCTTTTCCCTTCCCACCTGCAATGCTAACTCGTTAGATAACTGTCAAACTAGTGATAAAATGTTTGATTCCCAGACTTCCTAGCAATTATCAAAAGCCATCATATGCAATCTAAACACCAAAATTGTTTCAATACCCATCTTTTGAGGAGAGTACACTTTAGACTCATCAACAGCTGCAGAAAAACGACTATCTTGTGTTCCTTCCATTTCAGCATTATGAAGATTTGGGTCCATCATAGTAAGGCAACGTTTGGTATTTTGAGGAGAAAAATCATTTGGAAGTTGTGCATCATGCTTATTTTCAGTAGCATTCCTCTTGTATTTGCCTGAACTTCTTCGATCCAGGCCAGAGCTGTCTGCAATCCATAGAAGTTAAAATGTTGCAAAGTCAGTGAAGATAAATAACTGTCTGGTAATTGCAATGTCATAACTTAAAATGGTATTAGAACCTTGAAATACATTTCATGGATAAAAGTTTCTCCCAAATATACTATCCCTCAAGCAAACTAGACATGGATGTATACCTCTTGAACTTGATAAAGCAAAAGATTTGCTTCCTGATCTGGTGACTCTTCTGCTTGTAATAATAGTTGCATTCCTCCATGAGTTATCTTCATTTACTTTACCTGTTCTCTTCCCACCTACAAATGTTTACGGCATCAGCAAACTGAAACAATCTTCCCAGAATTCCTACAGTGACAACTCCAAATTACATTACCATCTTAGACAAGGTAAAAATAAACAAAGAATGTTCTAGATATTGATTTGCAATAAGACAACACTTCAACCATATCAACAGATGCTTAATTATTATTACTGCAAATCCCTTCAACACGAATGATTAAGAGTCATTATGCACCGTTTAAACACCAAAATCGTTTCAGCACCTGTCTTTTGAGGAGAGTACAGTTTAGACTCATCCATAGCTGCGGAAAGATGATTTTCTTGTGTTCCTTCAACTTCCACATTAGGAAGACCTGGGTCCATACTAGTGAGGTGACTTTTAGGATTTTCAGGAGAAAAATCATTCTGAAGTTGTGCATCATGCTTATTTTCATTAGTATCCCTCATGCATTTGTCCGAATTTCTTTCACTGGGCCCACAATAGTCTGCAATCCATAGCAGTAGTCAGTGAAGATAATAAACGTCCAGAAGCATAATATTTTAACTTCCGATAGTATGAAAACTTTGAAGTAACATTTTATGGATGGAAATTTCTCCCAAATATATTACTGTTAATTCACACAAACTAGACATGCATGTATACCTCTTGAAGCTGATAATGCAGAAGATTTGCTTGCTGATCTGGTAACTCTTTTGATAGTAACAATAGTAGCATTCCTAATTGAGTTATCTTCATGTATTTCACTCTTTCTATTCCCACCTGCAAATGGTCTGGACATCAGCAAACTAAAACAATCTCCCCAGACTTCCTAGCAATGACAACTGCAAATTTGATTGTCATCTTGAGCAAAGTGTAAATAAAAAAGAATGTTCTACACAATGATTTGCAATAAGAGTGCTTCAACCACATCAACAGGTGTAAAAAGATAATTACTTGAAATCCCTTCAATGCCAAATTTGGAAGCATCGATCCACATTACTGGAGCAGATCACAGCATTTTGGAGAACAGACAATGTAAAGTTGTACACTGTGCTTATTTACTATTGCCTATATTGTATTTTCCTGGAGTTCTTTCATCCAAACTAAGGTTCGTATCTCCTGTCAGTCAAATGGAGACATCCAAAACACAAAAAGTTGCAGAACAATAAACATCAAACAAGTCTAAATTTCTAGTTGAGAAGGAACAAACATTTTGGAGCAACATGTCATCATGTAAAACCATAGTCCCTAACATATGAAAGTTAATTTAAGCAAACTTGTGTTGCTTATATACCTCTCAATGTTGATAAATCGAAAGATTCCTTTCCCGGCCTCGTAACTATCTTCGCTTCTTTCTCCAAGCATTTTGAAGCACATTCTTCCCAATTAAGAGGAAATCCAAACACAAAATGCTTGAAAATCTACGAACAGCACAAATTTTGAATCTAACATATGAAATTGCAATGAGATAAGATAATCAAATAGTAAGATGACTGCACAAAGGACAAACAAATCTCGAATCCATCTCAAACATTTTCCCCTAAAACAGCTAAAGTTCAGCATTAAAGCGGATTTAAGAGCAGCTCATAACGACTTGTTCAGAATCCTTCTGCATTTGTAAACAGGTCACCATGAGATGATTTTTCTACTTTTCTTTTGTTTTGAACCCGAGCACTTTTAACAACAGTTGATAGTTGCCCATGTCAAGTTTTCCATGGTCAAGGTCCGAGAGCTCAAACTAGAGTGGGCTAGTAAAATTTTTTGCAATTCATAGCTTCTTGAAGCTTGATTAAGCCTACAAACAATGGTTGTTGCACTGAGAAGCTAGCGATGTATATACTAACTGATAGAGCCTGCATGGGCAGGAAAATAGCAAGAGACTCACAAACCTCAGATGAGAAGCCACTTTCTGTAGTACGCAACTTATTTATCAATCCAGACACCACAACACAAACACCATCCGCTGTTTCAAGAGTTGCAAAATCATATCTTTTGGTGATCGGAGCCGATTTGAACACCTGAACCACTTGTTGAACAGATTGTTGCCTGGAGTAAAAAGTCCTCTGAGCTCATGGAATTGCTACACCAGAAAAATAAAGTAAATGCCAACAGAGAAGTCTCATTGAGAGCCCAAGTCACGAGGACAACAATGACTACCTGAAGATGCAGTCCTAGTTAATAAGGGTGGCAACTTTCTACACAATACAATCGAGTTAACTTGGATAGGAGAAACCCAAATTAAAAGAACACGAATATAACTAACTCAAAACAGACATTGCTCGACAAATTTCAAGAAGCTTTTAGAAAATAAATAGACAATTTATCATCATATTGCACCAACTTTGTAATATTCAGCTAATGACTTGAATAACCGACACGAACATGATCATGATGACGCAACACAAATCCCCAGCCCCAATAGTTACCTTGCCAGCTACATTTTCAAAACAAGTGCAGACATGAAAGACCAAGGTTGTATTTGTCTCAATCAAAAGTGAGCCTTTGGATGGATTAGTGTCTACAGGATCACATTTTCCGATGTTTGGCCCAAATTGACTAGATTTCTCCCCAAAAAAAAGAACCGCAAATCCACGGGAAAGCTCACTTTTTTCCTACAAAGGTGAAAAATTTACACGAACGGGAAGATGAATTCTAGCAGATCATTGTCGACGCTTACTTGGGTGAAGCGAAGCCAGAAACAGCCAGTGTTCTTTCCTGAGAACCATCTGCAGCTTGTGACAACCACCAATCGTAGAGACAAACCTACTCGGCGAAACGCATGGAAGAAAAATCAGGAGTTGGAAGAGAGAGAGAGAGAGAGAGAGAGAGAGAGAGAGTTTGAGCACAGAGCACTCACTGTTTTTCTGAAGCGGGACGCTGAGAAGTCATCGTCGTCGGGTGATCTTGAGGGGTCGGAGCTCGACGCCATAAGGAAGGAAGGAAGGAAGCGAAGCGACCGTTGCCTGCTACTGCAGTTTCACCACACACTCATGGCCACGGTTCGGAACCGACGGTTCGGAACCGCCGGTTCCGGTTCGTGGCCAAGTATGAACCGGTTCATAATTTTCTTTTCTGTTTTTTTTTTTTTTCCTTTTCCTTTTCTTTTTTTTTTCTTTTCTTCCTCCGCCGGCCATAGCCGGGGCCGGCGGAGGTCGCCGGCCTCAGGCGAGGCCGCCCTCGCCGGCGTCGGGCAAGGGCCGCCCTCGTCTGGGCTGGGCAAGGCCGGCCTCGCCAGATCGGGCGAGGGCTCGACCTCGCCGGCGTCGGGAGAGGCCGACCTCGCCTGCAACTGGCGAGGCCGGCCTCGCCCGACGCCGGCGAGGCTCGACCTCGCCGGCAACTGGCGAGGCCGGCAAGGTCGAACCCTTGCCAGATCTGGCGAGGCTCGACCTTGCCGGCAACCCGGCGAGGCCTGGCCTCCCCTGAGGCTGGGCGAGGTCGAACCCTCGCCAGATCTGGCGAGGCTCGACCTCGCCGGCGTCGGGTGAGGTCAAGCCTCGCCAGAGGTCTGCAGCTTTCTTCTTCTTTTTTTTTTTGTGGAACCGGTTCAAAAATTTCTGGAACCGGAACCGGGCCCGTAGGGCACGGGCCGGTTCCGGTTCCAAACCGCGGGCCCGGTCAATGGGCCGGGCCCGGGTTTGACCGGGCCGGTTCCGGGCCAAAACCGGCCCGTGGCCATGACTACCACACAGGATACAGATTTCTTTTCTTTTTTTATATATTATATTTTTAAGTTAATACCACGAAAAATTCTAACTGATATACTTGTGACATATTTACTAAAAACTAATTTTTTAATCATAAAAAATCCAAACCGATATATCTGTGACTAATTTAATTTATATTAATTTTCGTTAAATTTTACTGTCAAATTGTTAAGTTGGATAACACGTTGCAATTGACAGGTATGTCAGGTGTACTAGTTTGTGGTCAAAAAATTAGTTCGGGGTAATTTATCTTAGGTGTACCAGTTTTGGGTTTTTCGTAATATTTACCCTATATTATATTTTTCACTTTTTACAACTTGCTATTTTATACAATTGCTTCAATCCACTCGCGTGAAAGTAAAATATGTTTAGTAAATGAAAAAAATTAAGATTGATTCGGGCACAGCTTTTTACCTTAAAGGACAAGTATACTCTCCCTTATCGTGTTGATTTTCCAATTTACTCACACACACTCCAAACAAATGCAAGCCGAGACGATGGTAGAGACGAGCATGAGCAGAAGTAAATGATTAATGACGAAGAGAGAGACGCAGTGCGCATGGATAGTAGAGAGATTATCGTCTTGCGAGAACCTTTTGTAGAGATGGCGCATGGTGCGAGGACTCGATTCTCTGCCCAAATCCCCGTCTTCAAATCATGCCCGTGCTTTTAGTTGCTTGATGTGCTTGATAAATTTGATTTATAATTTAACATATCTAAAATAGATAAGCTTGTTCATTCTACAAAATATAGGATAATGTGCAAAAAAAATCATAAGCTTTTTTTCTATGGACATCGATGCCTCAAATTATTTTTACCTTTCTCCAATACCTCAAATCTGTACCAATGATCAAAGAATATATTTTGTTAGACTTCCATCCATATTATTGTTAAAGATCCGACAATGATAGTGTAGCTTGCGTGGTTACACCCTTGGTTGATGTGGCAGCATGCGTCCCATTTACAACAAACAACCAAATGTAGGAGAGCAATATCCTACTACATGCTCAAAACTACTCAAGCTCATGGAAGTCCCGTTTACAGCAAAGTGCCCTATGAGTGTCAACACTTCCCTCCTAACATCTGTACAAGTAAGAATCTTTTCCTTAATTGAAGAACTACATTGGATATTTTTATATAGTTTAGGGATTAAATTGAACATGTACCAAAAGTCTAGGGATCACATTGAATAAATTAAAAGTTAAGAGACCATATTGAATATTAGAATAAAGTTCAGGGACTATATTGAACAAATTAAAATTTCAAGGAGCAAATTGCACATTGGGCTTTCTTTATCTTTACTACAATCTAATTCACATTTACAGAAAACTGAATCATGTAAACAAATAATCCTAGCCAACCAAATTTTGTAGACATAGACATTCCAAGGAAGTTTAAAAAGCAAACTTGGATATGACTTCCCCTTAAAGCTAGAAATGCCCGAGCAACTTCATGATCCATGCTACTAGCACTTTAAGAGATAAGATGCCGCTCCAAAATGACACTCCATATTCTGCAAGAAACAAGCCAAACAAAAAACAAATGACTCATGTCTTCATTACTAGAATGGCGAAACATCACATAAGAGAAACAGGGGAAATGAGAAAAGACATAAAAGTAACTTTTGTACAGTATTCACTTTGATACCATAGTTTTTCAATTGATCACTTCTAGGTGTGATAACTTTTAAAAAACATCCACTTGTGTACATATCTCCTCCGACGAACCCTATGTGGGTTTATTTTAACAATAATGTATCAATTTGACTATTTCAAGAGAGTTAAATTCAAAGCGGAAAAATAGCCAAATGATATGGCGGACCGACAGCCAAATGATGATGAATAAATGGAGGTTCGAAATAACCGACTCTCTCTCTCTCTCTCTCTCTCTCTCTCTCTCTCTCACACACACACACACACACACACACACACACACACACTCCACATAGACTAAAAGCAGGAAAAAGGCCATATAAAAAATTAGGGCTAAAGAGGAATGTTGCAATAGGGAAACTGTGAACGATTTTATTGAGTTTTTTGAGGTAGATTGTTATTTTTTGTCCCCTGACCAACACAATTAGTTATTATTTATTCTATTTGGTGTGGTTGTGGGCATCAATTGATCAATTTGTGGTCTCTTTGTGTCTTATGGTCCTTGAGACAATTTTCTTTTGCAGCGTCGATATGGATAACACATCAATACCCATTAACGTTTGTTATGGAAGTGAGTTTGTTATTGACGATGAATAGGGATATATTGGTAGAAATGTCGATATTACCTTAGTCAATGCAAGTAGATTACCATATAAAAAATTTGTGAGGCATATAATCAAACAGCTTGGGGTAAAATAGAAAAATTGTATTATGGGATATTTGAGGAGTGTTTGAGATTGCTTATGATGATAATGGTGTCATGGATCTTGTTTACCATTATCTACTTAGTGCCAAGGTTTATGTATAAGTTAAGTATTATTGCGATGAAGATGAGGACACTAGGTTGGTGATGGATATGATTTAGGAGGAGTAAAATTGATATTGAACAGAGTGTCGAGGTAGTGATGAATATGGTTTAGAAACCGTAGATATAACTAGTATTGAACAGAGAGTTGAGGAGATTGAGGCATGACATAGAGCTGGCGTTGAATATAGAGTTGAGGAAATTAAGATAGGCAACATAACTGGTGATGAAGACACACTTGGATTGGAGCAGGATAGGGTTAGAAAGTCGTTTAGTTAATTGATAAAGATTAGGACCCTTTAGTACATGCAAATTGCCTAAGTAATTATGATTGTGAGGAATTTGCACAAACAAATGAATAAGTTGGGGAATATGAACAAACAAGGAATGCACCACTTTTGGAACTTGATGAAATATAAATAAGGACCGAGGAGCTCCAATCGCAAATAGTTATGATTGATTATGACCAAGGTAGCGATGATGAGAATGTTAGATTATAGGATAAGATTGAAGATCAAGTAATTTTGTGTACAAGGAACAACAAGTACCCTTTTAATGATGTAAATGCTAGAAATCTTGTGTTTTGCATTTCTGTGAGATTTTATGATGCAAAATAATTCAAAAATACTATTGTGAAATACTCAATTATTCAACAGAGAAATATTGAATTCATTAAAAATACCAAGGCATATACTCAAACAAAGTGTGCATACGAGAATTGTACATGAAAGATACAAGGGGCATTGAGTAAGCACTAACTCATTCCACATCGTGTCGTTTCGGGAAGAACATAACTATGGCATTGTGACAATAAAAAGGTAACTAGTGTGCGATTGGTAGTGCGCTTCTTCAATATTATCAAGGTCATGCCATAAATCAAGAGTCTTCAATTGAAAGAGTTAGTGAAGGAACAATTGAGGGTTTATTTGTTTGGAAATCAGTGAAAAAGAACCAAATCCCAAGTGGAGAGTATGTTGATGGATAGTTACAAGGAATAATATGTACATGTGGTGCTATGAAGGGAAAGAAACCTGTGCAGTGGAGTTTATGTGGATGTTGTCGATGCCATTGGCTAATTCTAGGATTAAGTTTAACAAGATGAATTTTTGTTTTGATGCATGCAAAATGGGCTTTTTGGTGATGGAAGAGTGATAGCGTTAAAATGGATGTTTTTGGAAGGGTTTATGCAAATGGGAGGTATTGGCTACCATTGGAAAAGATGGAAATAACAAGATGTTCCCACTAGCTTGAGCTGTTGTGAAGGTAAAGAATACAAACACTTTGTCCTAGTTACTAAAAAAATCTGATGGTTGACCCTAGCATAATTGATGGGAGTTGGACATTGTATGAGTGACCAACAAAAGGTAATGTATAACTACTAGTCAAGAAACCTATTTTGCATGAATTAAAGCAAACTACATATTATCAAACTTAGTTATCAAGTAGTGATCTCTCAACAATCTCTACATGAACTTTACTTCTTGGCCTCATAACAACCTCTACCCATCAATGTACTCATCACCTTATACTTAGCCCTTCTGCCACATCAAACTTTAGTTGCTTCTTTACTAACTCCTTCAATTGAAAACTCTTGATTTCTAGCATAGCCTTGATGGTGTTAAATAAGTATTTGACCAACCCCACGCTAGTTACCCTTTTATTATCAAATATAATGCCACAATTATGTTCCTCTTGGAATGACGTGATGCGGATTGAGCCACTGTTCTTAATTAGTGCTCTATATATCTTCCATGGACAATTCTCTTATGCACACTTTGTTTTCATCTCGTAATCTAACACTCTCATCAT